TCGCCAATCCACGGCCGCAGCTGTACGTGCGCAACGTCGTGGACGACATCAAGCTCCAGGCTGTGGGCTCCAGCGACCTCGTCGTGGACCAGGTTGGCACAGGCACCGAGGCGCTGCTCGCAGAGTTGGCGCGGCTCGACCTTCCCATCTCGCTGAAGAAGTGCGTGTACATGGCGTCCAGCAAGCTTGTAGCGGATGCCCTGCAGCAGCGATGGTCGTTGCCTCCCACGGCGAGGGTTGACAGCACCCGTTCTTTAGGGACGGACGTGACGATGGGTAAGGTCAGGAGGGTGGCAACGGCTCGAAGCCGTGAGCAAGGTGCCCGCTACCGTGCCGCGCGCGCGCAGATGCTCCGGGACGCTGGGGCAGAGATCTGGCAATTGCAGCGGGCAGGCGGCACAGCAGTAGCCATGTGGGGATCCGCAGTCCAAGGTATCGCCACTGGAGCGCTGCACGGGCTGCGGGTGGCGGCGGCGAGAAGTTTTGGACGCTTGCCGAGAGGTGCGTCGATCGGTTTGCGGCTGCATTCGTTCAAGAAGGGCGTCGACTACGACCCGTTCGTGCTCGCAGCCACGCAGGTAGCTTGGATGTGGAGCTCGGCCGTCTGGGAGGCGACTCCCAGGCCACGCATCTTGGACGTCGTCATGCGAGACGCCCTAGTGAAGTGCACCCCACCGTCGGCGACATGGCGGCTGGTCACCACTCTGGCGGACGTGGCGGTCATGACCCTGAAGAGGATAGGTTGGGTCTTCGAGAGCAGCACCGTCGTCCGCGACACCGGCGCCGACGGGGCCACCTACGACCTGCAGAAGCTGCCGCCGAACCAGGTGAAGCGCTTGGTGGCCCGGGCCTCCGCCAGGGCTTCCGACATGCAGGCGTTGAGCAGAACGCGAGGCACCTGGAGGGGGGGAGAGGGCGTGCCAGACGTTCTGGACGAAGCGCCGGTTGCCCCAGTGTTCTGGGCACCCCTCCGACGGCTGTTCAGTAAAACGTCGGAGGTTTGGGATCTGCGACATCTTCGTGCCCTGCGTTCGGCTGTGAGCCACACCCTGTGGGGACAAGCACGGCTAGCTGCGCATGGACTGGTGACTTCCGACGTCTGTCAGGCTTGCGGAGGCGCTGAGGGCACCCTCTGGCATCGGTGTTTCGAATGTCCCGCCTACGAGCCCTTCCGTCGACAGTACCTCTCACCAGAGGCCAAATGCCGAGCCCAGACAGTGCGCACCTGGAGCAAGGCAGCGGGGGAGAGGCTGGCCAGGGGGATCCTGCCGGACCCGTCCGCGCTCTTCAGCTTCCCGGACGTGCCTTTCGAGATGCACTGGATCAACCGACCCAGCGACGGCCTCCTGCGAGGGCGCATCTTCAGCGACGGCTCCGCACTCTTCCCAGCCATCCCGTGCCTGTCCAGAGCGGGGTGGTCGTTAGTCCAGGTGGACAGGCTCGGCAACCTGGTCGCGGCGGTTTACGGGGTCGTCCCGCGAAGTGAAGCGCCATTTCAGACAGCGCGGGACGGCGAGGATTTTGCCGTGAGCATGGTCCTCCCGCTGGTCGCCATGGCCCCCATCGACTTGTACGTCGACTGCGCGGGCACCATCGGCGTCGTGAGTGGCGGTCCAGGGACGGGCACGCGGTCCACAGACGACCGTCCACACTGGTGGGGCAAATTCTGGGGGGCGTTTATGCCGAGTGACATCACTATCCACAAGACCCTGGTTCATGCGACGCAGGCCGACGTGGACGGAGGCCAGACTACCCCCATGGAGAAACGAGCGAACGGGAAGGCCGACGAGCTCGCCAAAGCGGGGGCAGCATTGCATGGCGTCACGGCCGCTGCTGCTCACCTCTGGGCCGGCCTGGCGGACATCGCGGTCGAGGTGGGCCGTTGGGCGGGTCAACTGCACAGCCATGTCGCCGACCAGGGACCGCCAGACCGGGAGGACGTCTTGGGCAAGCATGCCGAGGAGGGATGCGCGGATGCGAATGCTGGGGGAGCAGCGGATGCTGGCGTGGGCCTTTCAGCCAGTGATGCCGCAGAGGCGCGGCCTCACCGCTCCCATCCTCGTCCTCCTCCTCCTCCTCCTCCTCCTCCTTTCGAGCTCTACGTTGAGTGGGCCCCAGCGTGGCGGGACTATGAGCCTGTCGCGTTTCGGGCCAGGGGCCATGCTTTGCTGAGTGCCGACATTCAGGGGAGAAGCGGAATGCGGCTTATTTTTTGCTACCGTTGTGGGGCCTATTTTGGGGGCTGGTCCCCAGGCAAATGCATGCTTTCAGATTGCAAGGGCTCGCGGAGCGGCCCGAAGCTGCGCGAGCAGTTGTCCAAGCTGACGGCGGGTGACCATCCCCATTATCGCAAGACCACGCGGGGGCTGAGACTGGCGCCGCCGGATGGCGTGCCTATGGACGAGCGCCTCCGTTTGCAAGCCGTCTTTTCGACTGCCGCCTCTCCAGCGCCAACCTGTGCCCGCGCTGGCGAAGAACGCCCAGCGGCGCCAGCGCTGTCCCAGCGGGAGGTCGTGCTCCGCTCTTTCGGCATAGCTGAATCCGACCTGCCTGCGGTGCGCGTGCGCGGCCTGAAGGTGACCGCCAGGGCCCGTGCAGCAAGCGAATCCGGCTTCTCATCGGCAAGCGATGTGGAAGACTGGGAGTGGTAGTGCTTCTAGCGGCGTGCCGCTGCCTTTTAGGCCGTTCCCAACCCAACCATAGTTGCGCTGCTTCAACAACCGCGCATGGGCGTCGTACTCCGCCTTGTCGACGTGCAGCGCTACCTCCTCCCTCATGGCTCTCAAGGCCTTCTCCTGCTTCTGCTCCTCGGTGAGAGGGACGCCGTCCTTGTCGTCGTCGGCGCCCGCGAAGACGGCCACGAACGTGTCCCTGAGCATGTCGGGCTCCGGCGGGAAGCCGTGGCCACATAGGGAGCGCAGGCGAAGATGGCATTCACAATTGCGGCATTCACAACTGCATATGGTTGGGTCCTTCGCCAGGACAAGCCCGGGCGGGGGGAAAACCCATCACCCCCCCCCCCCAAAACCGGACTCCCAGGATCTGGGGCTTTGGGACCCTCCGGACGGGCCTCGAAGCGGCCCCCCCGGCCTCGCAGGGCCTTTTGCCAAGCCTTCCCAGCACACCTAGGGCGATCAGGGGGGTCATCGGAGACGTCCCAGAGACCTCCAAGACAGCACAAGAGCGCTCCAAGAGTGACCGACGTGACCTCAAGATGGCCCAAAAGGCCTCCAGGACGGCCCCAAAGAGGCCTCCAAGAGACTCCCAAGAAGGCCACAAGAGGCAAACATCATTGATTTTCAATTGGTTTTTGGTGAATTTGGGGGTTCTCCTCTTTTCGGCTTCCCGACGCTCCAAGACGGCGGTCTTCCGGGCGTCCGGAGCCGCCTGGGAGGCTCCAACATCGCCCCACAACCATCGGAAACGGCTTCCAGGCAGTCCAAGAGAGCCCCAAAACGGCACAACACGGGTCCAAGATGGCCCTCAGATAGTCCCGTGGCGGCCCAAGATGGCCCCAATACACCCTCCGAAATATTCCAAATCGTAACCCGGTCGTTCAGGGAGACCGCGGTTGGAGGCAAGGTGGCCCGAGGAAGTCCCCAGAGGCCCCCAGAATACGCCCAGGAGGCCTCCTGACGGCCTTCTGAAAGCCTGAAACAACTTTTGTGAGGCCCCCAGAGGCTCTCCAAGGAGGAGCCTCCGCAAAAAAGAGCTGAGGAGGATGGGGAGAATGCGCAGGGTACGGCGAACATAAAGAAAAAATAAACATGGAGGAAGGATAACGAATCACATTATTATAGCGGCGATGCCGGAAAAGGCAACAAGGAATTATCTCTACATTGTCGGCTTGACCTTCTTGCTATTCCGCCTGCATACCAAACTTCAAGGACCAAGGTGCATGGCGCGAAACGCCACTGCAATCTTGTGTGTGTGTATATATATATATATATATATATATATATATATATTCCTCTTCCTATATGTTTGCAATCCCGGGCGGGGGGAAAACCTCTCACCCCCCCAAAAAAACTGGACTCCCGGGATCTGGGGCTTTGGGACCCTCTGGACGGGCCTCGAAGCGGCCCCCCGGGCCTCGCAGGGCCTTTTGCCAAGCCTTCCCAGCACACCTAGGGCGATCAGGGGGGTCATTCCAGAGACCCCCAAGACAGCACAAGAGCGCTCCAAGAGTGACCGACGTGACCTCAACATGGCCCAAGAGGCCTCCAGGACGGCCCCAAAGAGGCCTCCAACAGCACTCGCAAGAAGGCCCCAAGAGGCAAAAATCATTGATTTTCAATTGGTTTTTAGTGAATTTGGGGGTTCTCCCCTTTTCGGCTTCTCAACGCTCCAAGACAGCGGTCTTCTGGGCGTCCGAAGCTGCCTGGGAGGCTCCAAAATCGCCCCACAACCATCGGAAAGGGCCTCCAGGCAATCCAAGAGAGCCCCAAAACGGCACAACACGGGTCCAAGATGGCCCTCAGATAGCCCCATGGCGGCCCAAGATGGCCCCAATACACCCTCCGAAGCATTCCAAATCGTGACCCGGTCGTTCAGGGAGACCGCGGTTGGAGGCAGGGTGGCCCGAGGAAGCCCCCAGAGGCCCCCAGAATTCGCCCAGGAGGCCTCCTGAAGGCCTTCTGAAAGCCTGAAACAACTTTTGTGAGGCCCCCAGAGGCTCTCCGAGGAGGACCCTCCGCAAAAAAAACTGAGGAGGATGGGGAGAATGCGCAGGGTATGGCGAAAACGAAGAAATAGAAGCATGGAGGAAGGATAACGAAAACCATTATTATAGCGGCGATGCCGGAAAAAGCAACAAGGAGTGTTCGCTAAATTGTCGGCTTGACCCTCTTGCTATTCCGCCTGCATACCAAACTTCAAGGACTAAGGTGTATGGCGCGAAGCGCCACTGCAGTCTCTTTTTCTCTCTCTCTCTCTCTCTCTATATATATATATATATATATATCCTCCTCAGCCCCAAGGGCCCAGTCTCCGCGCACGGCTCAGTCGCTGCCAACGATGCCGCGGGTCACAAACTCCACCAGCCGCACCACCATGTTGTCGCGGCGTTTGCTGTGGCAATACGTGACCATCTCTTTCCGGGTCGCTGGGAGCAGCGCGAACAGCTCCCGGGACGCCTCGAGGTCCTCTGCGGCGCCGGGGCTGGCGGGGCCGCCTTGGCCACTCGCGATCAGCAGCGCGCGGGCGTTCTGCAGGCGATCCAGCCTGAGGAACTTTGCATCCTGGTGCGCCGACGTGTTGATCGTGCACACGCCCGCGACCGAGACCGAGGGCCCGCCCGCGCTCTGGAAGAGCCAGGGCAGGTCGCACGCCGCCTGCATCGCCACGCCGCCTCCGAAGGAGTGCCCGACCAAGAAGACCTGGAAGCGCTCCGGGCACAAGTCGGGGTCCGTCCGCGCCTGCACCTCCGCGACGGCCTCCCGCAGGGCGAGGAGCACGCAGGCGACGGCACCGTCGGTGGCCAGGCCCGCGCTCGGCCACTCGACGTGGCGGCAGTCGACGTCGGGGAACCTCGCGATCTCCTGGGCGGCCACCTCGAAGAGCGCGCCGTGGAAGGGATCGTCCGGCTGACCCTTGGCGTCAGGCAAGAAGAGGACGATGGAGTGGTTCCAAGCTTCGTCCGCGCCTGCTTCCACCGTGCTCTCAGTCTCCTCCCTGGCGAACAGCGTGTCGCCGCCCACCGTCGTTTGGGCCTCCTCGGCGCAGCCCCCGCCGGACGACCTTTCCGGGTCGTAGCCGCAGAGGGCGGTGGTGCTCCAGAGCTCCGGCGGCGCCTTCTTGTGAGTCAACGCCACGGAGTAGGCGTCGCTGCGTTGGCAGTCGACGACCGGCGAGCCGCGTGCTGGCAGCGAGACGTCCACGGGCCGCAGCCGCCGCCGCAGCTCGGAGACGCTGCCGCACATCGCTGGGAGTTACCTGCCGCCCGCGCGGCTCCAGTCCGCAGCCGGCTGCGGTGAAAGGGCGGCGCAACGTCGGCTCGGCGCTTCGGGCTGAAAAACTGTTTGAGCCAAAATGGTTACGGATAAAATCTTGGCCCAAAACCTCTGGTCATGATCGGGGGGGGGGGGCGGGCACTTTGCATTTTCTCTTGACAAGGCGGCGGGAGTGCCCGCACATTGCCTGTTGCGCGCAGGGCCAGCATCCCTGTCAAAAAACAAGGCAAATTACACTTCGAGGCAAAATCTGGATCATGCGCGGGCACCCTGCGATCGCTGCGCAGTGGTTTTTGACTGGGACGGCAGGGGTGCTGGCATCTTGCCTGCTGTGTGCAGGCCATCCAGACGCTACGATGGATCCCCTGGTCGCCACCCGCTGCTTTCAGGGGGCGCATCGGTCGTGCCTATGCCCTCCCTCCCTCCCTCCCTTCCCAAGTATCCGCAATCTTGTTTTCGTTCAGTACGGGGTCCATTGACATTCCAACACTTTCCCCAGGGCCGGTTCTTCATCCCGGGCAATCTGTTGACAACCTCCGGGGCCTGGGGCCTGACAGGGGCCCCCCAAAGCCGAAAACGGCAGACATGACTCTCTGTGTCTGGGTTTCCTTCTACACATCTGGACACATCTGGAGGCCTCCCAAATGGGGCCCGAGTAGCTGGAGTCGGAGGATCGCGCCGCATCGCCAATGCATAGCCGATACATTGGCGATGCATCGGCGAAGTCGGCGATGCATCGCCGCCGTCGGCGTGGAGAAAGTGGGCCCCGCATCGAGCCGCCTTGGTGATGCTTCGGCGATACGGCGCGATCCTCCGACCCCATCTAGTCGGTGAAAATATTTGGGAGGCCTGGCACATCATCCTCCTTGGCGCCTGGGCCGCCACGATGACGTCGACGAGGGAGGCTGAGATGTCGCCCATCACGTCCGTACACCCGCCGGTCACGCAGTCGGTCAGCAGGCTCACGGCCGCAATGACCACCAGCAGCGCCGTGGCCACGGCCCCCGCGAGCCAGGTGCCCCGCAGCGTGTTGGCGAGGTTGCTGGAGTCCACCGCCTTTCCGAGGAGGGCCACTTGAGACAACCCAGACATGCTCGCGACGTGACCAAAAAACACGAGGGACGATTCTTGGCCGCTTTCGGCCTCTGGGAGCCCCTGCGAGGTCCAGGGGGCTGTCAAGAAACGGCTCGGGATGAAAGGCTGCCCGCCTGGGGACCTCGTACTTGCCCCCCTGTGCCAACACTAATGCGCATCCTCTCACCCTGCCCGATGCCTGTGGCCACCTGTGCGCAGGCGCTCGGCCGATGTTGAACAACGATTCGGCGCAGATGCTTGCTCGTGGGCCGGTGCGCAAGCCGCAGAACGTGGCCCGTTCGAGCTGGCGGTGCAGAAGCACCAGGCCGGCACCGACCCGCGCGAGCCCTCCGACCTCGTGAGGAAGGAGGTCTTTACGAGGCAGCCGGGAGGATCCTCGGAGGCTGGCTGGGGGCAAAGGGGCGGGCAGGCCACGGCGACGACTTGTACTACATCGCCGAGGGGCAGCCTATCCGCCTCCGTTTGCCAGCGGCACTTCTACACGAGGCTGGGGACTCGGACGCGGAGCTGATGGAGGAGCTATAGAGACGGGAGACGCAGCGGGCACTCTGTACGAAAAGCCCCAGAAGGAGGACCTTTTCGGGGAACGCACGTGGCGTCTCGACCAGGAAGCGGTCAACTGGGCCGCCCCAGAGGCAACCAACTGCAGCAGCACGGAGGACCACAGCGATTAGCTCCGAGACCACCTCACGAACGAGGTGAACGCGGGCAGGATGATCAAGATGTCCAAGGAGCAGCTGCGCAACCGCTTCCACGACAACTACGCCATTGCGGCGCTTGCAGTCCCAGAGAGCGCGCGCGAGCGGCACGAAGAGACTGGTCCACGACGGCGCACACGAGGTCGCAGTGAACCACCGGATTCGATGCCAGAACTGGCAGAGGATGCCGAGGCCTGCGGAGAAGAAACTACCTCCTGCGTTACTACGGGGACTGGCACGAGGTCATCTTCCTACTCGCCGCCGACGTCGAGGAAACGCATCGGCTTGTCAAGATCCGCGAGGACTGGCGGGGTATGTTGGCCTGCAAGTTTGAGGGCGAGGTGTACCGCAACATCTGGGCACGCTCGGCATATCCAGCGCACCAGAATGGAGGAGGAGGAGGAGGAGGAGAGGAGGAGGAGGAGGAGGAGGAGGAGGAGGAGGAGGAGGAGGAGGAGGAGGAGGGAGGAGGAGGAGGAGGAGAAGGAGGAGGAGGAGGAGGAGGAGGAGGGAGGGGGGGAGGGAGGGAGGGAGGGAGGGAGGGAGGGCGGTGGGCCAGGCTGTCCGAGGTGCCGTGCTGCGGGCGATACACTGTGCCTGTGGGGAGACGGCCGGCCAACAAAAACAGCTCGCCTATGACGACGACCCCTCCCCCTCCTCCTCCCCCTCCCACTCCTCCTCCTTCCTCCTTCCTCCTCCTCCTCCTCCCCCCTCCTCCTCCTCCTCCCCTCCCTCCCTCCCTCCCTCCCTCCCTCCCTCCCTCCCTCCGCCCTCCGCCCTCCTCCTCCTCCTCCTCCTCCTCCTCCTCCTCTCCTCCTCCTCCTCCTCCTCCTCCCCCTCCTCCCCCTCCTCCCCCTCCTCCCCTCCCCTCCCCCTCCCCCTCCCCCTCCCCCTCCCCCTCCCCCCCCCCTCCCCTCCCCCTCCCCCTCCCCTCCTCCTCCTCCTCCGCCTCCTCCTCCTCCTCCTCCTCCTCCTCCTCCTCCTCCTCCTCCTCCTCCTCCTCCTCCTCCTCCTCCTCCTCCTCCTCTCACTCCTAGCCCTTTCGATCAGGGTCGGCGGCACCGGCCGTCAGGCCTCTCCAATAACTCACCTATGACGACGACCTGGAGGCGATCGGTTTGGGGACAACAAGGGCGACAGGCAACGCTCTTTATGGTCGTCTTACCGTCGCCTTCGGCGCCTCGGTGCAGGGTCCAGACGCGGGGCGGCCTCATGCCACCGCGACTACAACAAGTACAGTCGGGGCCTTGACCTAAGGAACCCTAAATAAGGAACGAGGCCCCTATTTTCCATAAGCTGAACTTCGATTCCGTATCGAAAAACAAAGGAAAATCAAAGGCAAACTGCGAGACAATCAAGGAACACGGAGCCCCTCCCCAACGAAAATGGTCCCTTCTTCAGGGCCCCGACATTACACCGTCGGCCTCTCAGAGGCGTGGGCGGCTTGGGAAGCAGCCCGGTGCAAGGAGACGGTCGAACGCAGCACCCTCCACGCGAGCGAGCTGGCGTCGGGCTTGAGGCGCCAAGGCTTCGCGGCGAGGGTCCTAGGTGCGGGAGGAGCCGCTACCGAGGTCGGTGCATGCCTGGCTCGCCATCGCTCGGACGTCCATTCCCTGTGTTTTTTTCGGTTTCGTGCGTGGTTGTTTCGCCAAATCATCAAGGATGCTCCTCGATGGTCCTCGCCGAAGGAAAGATGCACACGTCCGAGCGATGCCAAGCTGGTTCGTCAACGTCGCAGGAAAGCCAAGAAGAGGGCCTCCCGGCCGTGGGCGACCAGGCTCTTGTTGCTGTCGCGGAGCGGCCAAGGTGGCAGGCCCATCTGGTGCTGACCTTCCGAGGGGGGCGCTTCTTCTGGTGAAGATAGGGCGTATGAGGAAGGGACTTCAGTTCAGAACCGAGAGCGCTAGGCACTTCCGCTCGGGTGCGAAGGCGGAGGGAGGGCGCTGCTGGACAGACGGCTGGGAAGTACCGACGAAGGGCAGCTCGCGAGGGGCTCGCTGGTACGCGCTGGCGGTAGAGAAGGAATGGCTCCTCTGGGTGTGGCCAAGGCCATCGCGGCGCTCGAGCTCCTGGGCACGATCCTCTGCGTGAAGCTGTTCGCGAAGCCAGGGGGGCGCTTCCATAGGGCTAATCTTAAGATGTCGGGGTCGACGGACAACCTGGGGAACGCCTACGTGGTGAACAAGGCCATGTGGACCAACTGGCCGTTAACGGTCCTCCGCATCGAGCTTTCGGAGGAGCTGAGGTCACACAAGATGGCGCGTGGCCTAGCCTGGCTACCACGCGAGGAGGACCAGGAAGCGTACGATCTCAGCAACATGAAGACGTCGGTCTCCGACGAGTCCCTCAGGATCCACGTGGCGGCCGTGGAGATGATTGAGGCCTCCAAGGAGCTCTACGAGTCGATCGCTGAGGAGGATCGGCCGCCACAGGCAGGACACCCGCAGCGGGGCGAGGCCAGAAAGGGCCGCGGGCGCAAGCGCCCGACGCCGTGGTGACAGTGCCGCCCAGTACGTCGTCGACGACGTCGCGCCGGCGGAGCTGCAGGTGGCGGCAGCGGCGCGCGGGGCCCTGTACGACCTTCCAGAACGGGGGCCCAGCGCGAGGTCCTATGGCGTGCCTCTGAGTCTTCGGTCGGGCACGTCCTCCGACAGGCGGATTTTGGAGGACAAATGCAAAATAGTCCAGCAATACCCGAAACTGACCCAAAGTCCATTGAAAAACCGTCCCCGAACTACTTTTTTTGACTGGTTTTGAAGATTCCTCCTGTAGAGGGACCATGGGACAGCCCGACGTAAGGATAGTCTTGACACCCCACCCCCCGGTGGGTGCCGCCACGGGGTGGGCCCCCCCCCCCCCCTGCCACCTCTGCCTCCCCCCTCCCTCGCCGCGGCGGCGGGGAATCCAGGGAGGGCAGGGGCCCCCCCCTGCCGCGGTGGACCCCATGGAGGGCGGGAAGGGCGCCCCAAAGCAGAGCCGCGATCCACCAACCGCCCCCGAAGAAATTCCAAGAAGCTGAAACGCCAAGATTCCTCAGAAATCGTTCCGCAAACTCCGTATTTCACTCTTACTGCCGCCCCAAGGGGTCGGCGGTGCGGCGTCAGCCAATGAATCTCAAGAGGGGCCCAGATCGAGACCGCGTCCATGCTCCCCTTTGCGCGGCCCGGTGCGGTCGGGGTGGGGGTGGGGTGGCGATTTGGAGGCCTGGAAGTGGGCACCAACACCAACACAGGGGGGTGCCTCCACAGGGGGAAGGCCATCCTAGATATTTCGGTGCTGGTGGTAATATTTCGGTCACCTTGGAAGCCAGAATATTACTACCGTCACCGAGATCGGGATCTCCTTCCCTCGGTGGAGGCACACCGCCGATACTGGTGTTGGTGTCAACCTCGATGCCTGCGAGCGATGCCTGCGTGACGGGGCGAGGATCCAGGTGCTACTGGCGGGCCTCGACGCTGGCATCGTCCAGTGGAGGGGCCCGGAGACCGATCCCACTGCACCTCGGTTCCTCCTTGGTCACCCAACCCCATCGCTGAAGGGGGGGCATCAAGTTCCTGGGAGTGGCTCGGGCCCCTGGGATACAGGCCCCGCCTTCGCCATCCGTAAAAGAGGCATCAACGTCACGCCCCCCTTTTGCAAGCATCGCGCCGCTTGTAGGGCCATTCGAGGATACGTCCCCGTGTGCCAACAACGTATCCTCTCACTCTGCCCGATGCCTGTGGCCATCTGGGGCAACCCACCCACTACACTGGGGCATCAAGTTCCTGGGAATGGCTCGGGCCCCCCGCACGAGAGGCATCACCTCCAACCCCGTCTTCTATCACAATCGCACCGCTTGTAGGACCGTTCGAAGATGCTCGAACAAATCAAGGCGCCGCATGTCTGGGAACGGTAGTTGGCCTTCGGGGGGCCGTGGTCTCAACTCGCCCTGCGCCGAGCCTTGTCGGCGTAGGCGCCCGTGGCAACGGCCGCGAAGATCCACGAGGTGGCCAGCTGGCCTCCCAGCACCACGAAGGCCGCCTGAAGCGGCTGCCCTGCTAGAGGAAACGACCACGTCATGAGCAGAAAGTTTCGGAGCCCCACGCGGAGCTCCGAAACTCCCAGCTCGTGCGGCGTGTTATTCTTCAACCTCCGGCGTAGAAGGCGTCCAGCCAGGACGGCGTGTAGAGCCCGGTGAAGGGCAGGAGCAAGATCACCACGGCGGGAACGACGGTGGCGGACACCAAGAAGTCCCCGAGGGCCACCCACGGGTCCGCCACCTGCTTGGCACGCCCGAGGCGGGTAGAGAGACATGTGTGCGATGCCCAGCAGCAGGCGATGCCCAACGGCAACTCTCCTTCCCCCTCCTCCTCCTCCTCCCCCTCCTCCTCCTCCTCCCTCCTCCCCCTCCCCCCCCCCCTCCCCCTCCCCCTCCCCCTCCCCCTCCCCCTCCCCCTCCCCCTCCCCTCCCCCTCCTCCTCCTCCTCCTCCTCCTCCTCCCCTCCTCCTCCTCCTCCTCCTCCTCCTCCTCCTGCCTCCTCCTCCCTCCTCCTCCCTCCTCCTCCTCCTCCTCCTCCTCCTCCTCCTCCTCCTCCTCCTCCTCCTCCTCCCCCTTCCCCCTCCCCCTCCTCCTCCTCCTCCTCCTCCTCCTCCTCCTCCCTCCTCCTCCTCCTCCTCCTCCCTCCGCCTCCGCCTCCGCCTCCGTCCCCTCCGCCTCCGCCTCCGCCTCCGCCTCCGCCTCCGCCTCCCGCCTCCCTCCGCCTCCCCTCCGCGCTCCGCCTCCGCCTCCGCCTCCGCCTCCGCCTCCGCCTCCGCCTCCGCCTCCGCCTCCGCCTCCGCTCCGCCTCCGCCTCCGCCCCGCCTCCGCCTCCGCCTCCGCCTCCGCCTCCGCCTCCGCCTCCGCTCCGCCTCCGCCTCCGCCTCCGCCTCCGCCTCCGCCTCCTCCTCCTCCTCCTCCTCCTCCTCCTCCGCCTCCTCCTCCTCCTCCTCCGCCGCCGCCGCCGCCGCCGCCGCCCGCCGCCTCCGCCGCCTCCGCGCCTCCTCCTCCTCCTTCCTCTCCTCCTCCCTCCCCTCCTCCCTCCTCCTCCTCCTCCTCCTCCTCCTCCTCCTCCTCCTCCTCCTCCTCCTCCTCCTCCTCCCCCTCCCCCTCCTCCCCCTCCTCCTCCTCCTCCTCCTCCTCCTCCTCCTCCTCCTCCTCCTCCCCTCCTCCTCCTCCTCCTCCTCCCCCGCCTCCTCCCCCTCCTCCTCCTCCTCCTCCTCCTCCTCCTCCTCCTCCTCCTCCTCCTCCTCCTCCTCCTCCTCCTCCTCGTGTGGCCCAAGACCGATATCGGCCGCTGTTGGCAGGAGATGTGCTGCCTCAGAGTCCGCGGCAACGCCGGCAGCGAGTCCGATGTTTCATCCCGAGTCGTTTCTTGCCAGCCCTGAGGTCCTGCAAATGCCACTCGAGGGGCCGATCCCTGTGAGACGTCTCCGCGCCGACGTCTTCGAGACGCCAGATGTCTTGGTGCTTATCTTGATCGTGCCGACCTGCGAGTGGAGCAGCTGCTCCGCAAAAGGGAGAAGGAGGAGGAGGAGACGGAAGAGGAGGAGGAGGAAGAGGAGGAGGAGGAGGAGGAAGGAGGAGGGAGGAGGAGGAGGAGTAGAGGAGGAGGAGGAAGAGGACGAGTGACGCCGCAGGCAGACTGCACGCACGGCTTGGCGAACAAAAAGGAGGAGGAGGAGGAGGAGGAGGAGGAGAACGAGGGGGAGAATGAGGAGGATAACGAGGAGGGACACCCAGGGGCGGTGCTCGGTGGTAGCCGACTGGAACAATTAAGGCATATGTTGAAGCATCTGGCAATATGAGGAGGAGGAGGAGGAGGAGAAGAGGAGGAGGTGAAGGAGGAGGAGGAGGAGGAGGAGGAGGAGGAGGAGGAGGAGGAGGGAGGAGGAGGAGGAGGAGGAGGAGGAGGAGGAGGAGGAGGAGGAGGAGGAGGAGGAGGAGGATGAGGATGAGGAGGAACTAAACCACCAAAATGTCAGGGCACTCCGCCACCTGCGGGCCGAGGAGCCACCAGGTGTCCAGGTGCCCATCCTTAGGCATGCGATATGTCGTATTTTTCCAACCCTGGGGGTCCCTGAAGCCCCGACCCAATCCCAGGGGCCGCCGTGTGCTTCGACCTTCTCTTGTACAGCGTCGTTTTTCTGATCGCTATTGGGACAAGTGTTGTCTTCAACGTGAAGGTCCCTCACAGTCCGGCCGTGTTGGGGACGGAAGCAGTCCCAGGAATCGGTTATTCATCCCGAGCAACTTTATGACGGTCCCGAAGCCTGATCAAATCCCTACAAACAAGCAATGGCTATGCATCCGGAAGGGCGTGCCGGCAGACTCGAAACTGCGCCATTGGCAACCGAGTAGAACAACGAAAGCATATGTCGAAACATCTGTATAGAGGAGGAGGAATGATGATGAGGAGGAGGCGGAGGAGGATGCTGAGGAGGAAACAAAGGAGGAGGAGGAACATAAGGATGATGCTTGTAACAATGATAATCATAGTAGTATAAGGCGAAGCATGATGCATAAACATACGGATAATAATGCAACTGCTAAAACACATTACGGAAAGAGGAGACACAACATAGAAAGCAGAGGTGGAGTGGGAGGAGAGAGCACGACACCCCAGAGGCGGGACATGGCGACAGCCACCACGTCGTGATCTTTCTCATGATCTTGCGGGTCGAGATCGTGGCGACTTGCAGGTCGAACTGTCGCCCCACGGAACGGCCCAGCCCACCCCGCCTGTAGCGCTATAGAACCCACCTCTCCGCGCCACTTCTTGGGCTGGGCCGCTCTGCGCTGGTCCCAGGGCCCGAGACGGGGGCAAAGTCGCCTCGGGAACGGGTATCTATCGGCGACTCCGAAGGGTGTGGTTTGCAAAGGGCGTGGTTTGTAAAGGTTTGGTTTCGCGCCACTTTTCGGGTTGGATCGATGCGTGATGGTCCCAGGAAACGAAAAGTTTTGTTCCTCCAGCCCGCCCCTCCTTTCCCACGCATATCGTGGCACCCGACCTTGCTGCCAGCGCGCCTGACCAAGGTCTTGCCACTTCAGACCGCCGACGGTGACGATGAGGATAAGACTCGTTTTTCCTCACGTGCCAGTGGGCGCCCGACACTCGGGCACGAGTTCGTCCGCCCCGCATGAGGTCCTCCGCCTCGCGCAGGGGGGGTGGCCCTCCCCGTGGCCGTCTCGCGGAAGCAGTGGGCGCGAGCGCACTTCCTCTGCGCACCCTGGGTTTCGT